TACAGCCTCAGTCCTGGGTCTACAGCCTCAGTCCTGGGTCTACAGCCTCAGTCCTGGGTCTACAGCCTCAGTCCTGGGTCTACAGCCTCAGTCCTGGGTCTACAGCCTCAGTCCTGGGTCTACAGCCTCAGTCCTGGGTCTACAGCCTCAGTCCTGGGTCTACAGCCTCAGTCCTGGGTCTACAGCCTCAGTCCTGGGTCTACAGCCTCAGTCCTGGGTCTACAGCCTCAGTCCTGGGTCTACAGCCTCAGTCCTGGGTCTACAGCCTCAGTCCTGGGTCTACAGCCTCAGTCCTGGGTCTACAGCCTCAGTCCTGGGTCTACAGCCTCAGTCCTGGTCTACAGCCTCAGTCCTGGTCTACAGCCTCAGTCCTGGGTCTACAGCCTCAGTCCTGGGTCTACAGCCTCAGTCCTGGGTCTACAGCCTCAGTCCTGGGTCTACAGCCTCAGTCCTGGTCTACAGCCTCAGTCCTGGGTCTACAGCCTCAGTCCTGGTCTACAGCCTCAGTCCTGGGTCTACAGCCTCAGTCCTGGGTCTACAGCCTCAGTCCTGGGTCTACAGCCTCAGTCCTGGGTCTACAGCCTCAGTCCTGGGTCTACAGCCTCAGTCCTGGGTCTACAGCCTCAGTCCTGGGTCTACAGCCTCAGTCCTGGGTCTACAGCCTCAGTCCTGGGTCTACAGCCTCAGTCCTGGGTCTACAGCCTCAGTCCTGGGTCTACAGCCTCAGTCCTGGGTCTACAGCCTCAGTCCTGGGTCTACAGCCTCAGTCCTGGGTCTACAGCCTCAGTCCTGGGTCTACAGCCTCAGTCCTGGGTCTACAGCCTCAGTCCTGGTCTACACCTCAGTCCTGGGTCTACAGCCTCAGTCCTGGGTCTACATCCTCAGTCCTGGGTCTACAGCCTCAGTCCTGGGTCTACAGCCTCAGTCCTGGGTCTACAGCCTCAGTCCTGGGTCTACAGCCTCAGTCCTGGGTCTACAGCCTCTGTCCTGGGTCTACAGCCCTCAGTCCTGGGTCTACAGCCTCAGTCCTGGGTCTACAGCCTCAGTCCTGGGTCTACAGCCTCAGTCCTGGGTCTACAGCCTCAGTCCTGGATCTACAGCCTCAGTCCTGGGTCTACAGCCTCAGTCCTGGATCTACAGCCTCAGTCCTGGGTCTACAGCCTCAGTCCTTATCTGCTTCCTTAACATAAATGAAGCTGATTCCACAGTAAAGGAGCTTGGAGCTAAATGCTCTGCCGCCAACAGAGAAAGATCTCGAAGCTCGTGTTGAAAAAAACCTGACGTTCGTTAAAAGTAAAATGAATAATTTTGTATAAAACGCATTAAATCCACACTTTCGTGTTTCTGAGATTTACAAAAACAAACTGGTCACGTGCATTTCCTGTGATTCAGAACGTTGTTCCCCGTGACGTCCAGCAGAGGGCGCCACAGCCCGCTGCACTGTGCCATACAAATAAACTCTAAGACCATTTCGAGAAACAAAATCTTATTTTTCAAACACGGTTCTCTCCTTGTTTCTGTCACAGTCCAACACTGAGTAGGACCAATGTTACTTCAAGACCCTTGCAGACGTCCAGACAATAAGGTTTAAGGTAGTTAGCCGTGCTTCTAAGTTGATCAAAAAGAGTGTAAAGCGGTTAGCCGTGCTTCTAAGTTGATCAAAAAGAGTGTAAAGCGGTTAGCCGTGCTTCTAAGTTGATCAAAAAGAGTGTAAAGCGGTTAGCTGTGCTTCTAAGTTGATCAAAAAGAGTGTAAAGCGGTTAGCTGTGCTTCTAAGTTGATCAAAAAGAGTGTAAAGCGGTTAGCTGTGCTTCTAAGTTGATCAAAAAGAGTGTAAAGCGGTTAGCCGTGCTTCTAAGTTGATCAAAAAGAGTGTAAAGCGGTTAGCCGTGCTTCTAAGTTGATCAAAAAGAGTGTAAAGCGGTTAGCCGTGCTTCTAAGTTGATCAAAAAGAGTGTAAAGCGGTTAGCTGTGCTTCTAAGTTGATCAAAAAGAGTGTAAAGCGGTTAGCTGTGCTTCTAAGTTGATCAAAAAGAGTGTAAAGCGGTTAGCTGTGCTTCTAAGTTGATCAAAAAGAGTGTAAAGCGGTTAGCCGTGCTTCTAAGTTGATCAAAAAGAGTGTAAAGCGGTTAGCCGTGCTTCTAAGTTGATCAAAAAGAGTGTAAAGCGGTTAGCTGTGCTTCTAAGTTGATCAAAAAGAGTGTAAAGCGGTTAGCCGTGCTTCTAAGTTGATCAAAAAGAGTGTAAAGCGGTTAGCCGTGCTTCTAAGTTGATCAAAAAGAGTGTAAAGCGGTTAGCTGTGCTTCTAAGTTGATCAAAAAGAGTGTAAAGCGGTTAGCTGTGCTTCTAAGTTGATCAAAAAGAGTGTAAAGCGGTTAGCCATGCTTCTAAGTTGATCAAAAAGAGTGTAAAGCGGTTAGCCGTGCTTCTAAGTTGATCAAAAAGAGTGTAAAGCGGTTAGCCATGCTTCTAAGTTGATCAAAAAGAGTGTAAAGCGGTTAGCCGTGCTTCTAAGTTGATCAAAAAGAGTGTAAAGCGGTTAGCTGTGCTTCTAAGTTGATCAAAAAGAGTGTAAAGCGGTTAGCCGTGCTTCTAAGTTGATCAAAAAGAGTGTAAAGCGGTTAGCTGTGCTTCTAAGTTGATCAAAAAGAGTGTAAAGCGGTTAGCTGTGCTTCTAAGTTGATCAAAAAGAGTGTAAAGCGGTTAGCTGTGCTTCTAAGTTGATCAAAAAGAGTGTAAAGCGGTTAGCCATGCTTCTAAGTTGATCAAAAAGAGTGTAAAGCGGTTAGCCGTGCTTCTAAGTTGATCAAAAAGAGTGTAAAGCGGTTAGCCATGCTTCTAAGTTGATCAAAAAGAGTGTAAAGCGGTTAGCCGTGCTTCTAAGTTGATCAAAAAGAGTGTAAAGCGGTTAGCCATGCTTCTAAGTTGATCAAAAAGAGTGTAAAGCGGTTAGCCGTGCTTCTAAGTTGATCAAAAAGAGTGTAAAGTGGTTAGCCGTGCTTCTAAGTTGATCAAAAAGAGTGTAAAGCGGTTAGCCGTGCTTCTAAGTTGATCAAAAAGAGTGTAAAGCGGTTAGCCGTGCTTCTAAGTTGATCAAAAAGAGTGTAAAGCGGTTAGCTGTGCTTCTAAGTTGATCAAAAAGAGTGTAAAGCGGTTAGCTGTGCTTCTAAGTTGATCAAAAAGAGTGTAAAGCGGTTAGCTGTGCTTCTAAGTTGATCAAAAAGAGTGTAAAGCGGTTAGCCATGCTTCTAAGTTGATCAAAAAGAGTGTAAAGCGGTTAGCCGTGCTTCTAAGTTGATCAAAAAGAGTGTAAAGCGGTTAGCCATGCTTCTAAGTTGATCAAAAAGAGTGTAAAGCGGTTAGCCATGCTTCTAAGTTGATCAAAAAGAGTGTAAAGCGGTTAGCCGTGCTTCTAAGTTGATCAAAAAGAGTGTAAAGCGGTTAGCCATGCTTCTAAGTTGATCAAAAAGAGTGTAAAGCGGTTAGCTGTGCTTCTAAGTTGATCAAAAAGAGTGTAAAGCGGTTAGCCGTGCTTCTAAGTTGATCAAAAAGAGTGTAAAGCGGTTAGCCGTGCTTCTAAGTTGATTAAAAAGAGTGTAAAGTGGTTAGCCGTGCTTCTTTCTTTGTAAAGTTTTCTGTTCAGAACTTTGTGAAATAGTCCGAGTTAGCATTAGCATTAGCATTAGCATTAGCACGGTCTTAACTGGCTGGTGCTCCGTGTACCGGGTGCAGCTCTGACCGACACCCCCCCGACCCACAAATGGATAAAGGGGAAGATGGATGGTCTTAACTGATGGAAAGTGGACGATGTTAGCCATGCTTCTAACTTCATGGATAGAAACTGTGTCCGATAAAAAAAAACATAAATGAGACTGAATCACGTTTATTTCCATCGTTCAAACATTTATTTTATTTCATTCTCAAAATGTACAGAAACTTCCAAACGTTACGTTAGAAAACAGGCAAAGTCTCTCGTAACCGTGACGACAAACAACAGTTTAAATTCAGGCAAAAAGGACAAAGAAGTGACTCATAAATAAATGCTCCGTTGCATTTTTTTGACAGAAAACCGTTTGTTTTCGTCGTAGAAAAACATGATTATTGCCTAAAAGCAGCGGAAACAAGTGCACTTTAGTTTCAAGGTGATTACAGTCATGCTAACGTCACACTGAGGCATGCAGACACCGCAGCAGCAGACGCCGCAGCAGCAGACGCCGCAGCAGCAGACACCGCAGCAGCAGACGCCGCAGCAGCAGACGCCGCAGCAGCAGACACCGCAGCAGCAGACGCCGCAGCAGCAGACGCCGCAGCAGCAGACGCCGCAGCAGCAGACACCGCAGCAGCAGCAGCACCGCAGCAGCAGACACCGCAGCAGCAGCAGACGCCGCAGCAGCAGCAGACGCCGCAGCAGCAGACGCCGCAACAGCAGCAGACGCCGCCGCAGCAGCAGACGCCGCAGCAGCAGCAGACGCCGCAGCAGCAGACGCCGCAGCAGCAGACGCCGCAGCAGCAGACGCCGCAGCAGCAGCAGACGCCGCAGCAGCAGCAGACGCCGCAGCAGCAGCAGACGCCGCAGCAGCAGCAGACGCCGCAGCAGCAGTAGACGCCGCAAGCAGCAGCAGACGCCGCAGCAGCAGACGCCGCAGCAGCAGCAGACGCCGCAGCAGCAGCAGACGCCGCAGCAGCAGCAGACGCCGCAGCAGCAGACGCCGCAGCAGACGCCGCAGCAGCAGCAGACGCCGCAGCAGCAGACGCCGCAGCAGCAGACGCCGCAGCAGCAGACGCCGCAGCAGCAGCAGACGCCGCAGCAGCAGACGCCGCAGCAGCAGACGCCGCAGCAGCAGCAGACGCCGCAGCAGCAGACGCCGCAGCAGCAGCAGACGCCGCAGCAGCAGACGCCGCAGCAGCAGACGCCGCAGCAGCAGCAGACGCCGCAGCAGCAGCAGACGCCGCAGCAGCAGCAGACGCCGCAGCAGACACCGCAGCAGCAGACGCCGCAGCAGCAGACGCCGCAGCAGCAGACACCGCAGCAGCAGACGCCGCAGCAGCAGACGCCGCAGCAGCAGACGCCGCAGCAGCAGACACCGCAGCAGCAGCAGACACCGCAGCAGCAGACACCGCAGCAGCAGCAGACGCCGCAGCAGCAGCAGACGCCGCAGCAGCAGACGCCGCAACAGCAGCAGACGCCGCCGCAGCAGCAGACGCCGCAGCAGCAGCAGACGCCGCAGCAGCAGACGCCGCAGCAGCAGACGCCGCAGCAGCAGACGCCGCAGCAGCAGCAGACGCCGCAGCAGCAGCAGACGCCGCAGCAGCAGCAGACGCCGCAGCAGCAGCAGACGCCGCAGCAGCAGTAGACGCCGCAGCAGCAGCAGACGCCGCAGCAGCAGACGCCGCAGCAGCAGCAGACGCCGCAGCAGCAGCAGACGCCGCAGCAGCAGCAGACGCCGCAGCAGCAGCAGACGCCGCAGCAGCAGCAGACGCCGCAGCAGCAGACGCCGCAGCAGACGCCGCAGCAGCAGCAGACGCCGTATCAATAGAATCCTTCAGCCGTATGCACAGCTAAAAAGAACAGTTTTTAGCCCCGATTTAAAAATTGCCAGAGTAGATGCTAGCCTCACATCTTCAGGAAGATTGTTCCAGATTTTAGCTCCATAAATCTCAAACGCTGCCTCCCCATGTTTAGTTCTGACTCTTGGAACCAGTAAGAGGCTACCTCCTGTGCTCCTCAGAGTCCGGGTCGGTTCATATGGGACTAACAAGTCGCTTAAGTACCCTGGTGCGAGGCCATGGAGAGACTTGTACACAAGCAGTGCTGCTTTGAAGTCTATTCTCTGAGCCACAGGAAGCCAGTGCAGAGACCTGAGAACTGGACTAATGTGGTCATATTTCCTGGTCCTGGTCAGGACTCGAGCTGCAGCATTTTGGACATACTGCAGTTGTTTTACAGCCTGTTTGGAGAGAGTACAAAGTCCGATTTGCACAAAATTTGAATTGACTGTTCAACTCTCGGGTTTGGGTAAATTGAAAGTGTAAAATGGGAAATTGCTTCATTAGCGCCCCCTACAGACTGAGTCAAGTGTTACATGGGGAGAATAAGGTTTATATTTCAATAGAGACACACAATCCCGGATCATAGGAATTCAAAATACACAGTGTCGCTCCCGTCAGGGCTGCTGGAAAATATTTCCTTTGCTCGGTGCGGCGAGGGCCGTTTGAC